TCTTCTCTCTCCTCCTTCTCCTCTCCTCCTCTCTTTCCTTCTCCTTCCTCTCTGCCTCTCTCCTTTCCCTGCTCCTCCTCCTCCTGTCTCTCCTTTCTTCAAATCTTCTCCATGTTTCTTCCATTTTTGCCCTGTCCTCTTCTTCTTCCTTCCTCTCTTCCCTCTTCTTCTCTCCTTCTTCCCATCTTCACTCCTCTCCTTCTTTTTCTTCTCTTCCTCGACCACCAGCTCCCACCATTCTTTCCTACAACTTTCCTCTTCTAAATTCTCTCCTTCCCACTTCCTCTCCGACTTTCCTACTTGCCCCCTCCCCCTCCTCTCTTCCATATTCTCTATCTTCCCTCCCCTCTTATCGTTCCTCCCTCCCCCGTCCTCTTCTGTCTGCATTCTTTCCTCCACTTCAGCTTCCTTTCCTCCCTTCCGCTCCAGCCTCCTCCTTTCCTGCTTTCGACCTCCCTCCACCTCTTCCTTCCCGTCCGACCTATGCCTCCTGTTCTCTTCCCCTCTGTCCTTCTTGCCATCTTTCTCTCCTCTCTCTTCTTTCCGAGTTCCTGTCTCTTCCTCCTTCCGAAAAAGCTGCGCCTCCGTCCTCACCTCCTCATTCCTCTTGTCTCCCTCCCTTTCCGCCTTCCTTTCCATTCCTCTCCGCCTCTCCTCCTTTTTCTCACCGCACTCCTCCTTCCTAACCCCCTCATTCTTCTCTTTCTGTCCACACTTCTCCATCCTCTCTAACCCACTCACTACTACCTTCATTAGCCCCACCATCTCCTCCATCACCCTCCATATCTCCCTCAACTCCTCCACCACACCATCACACTTTTCAGCCATTTTCCCGGATCCTTCCTTCTCGCCCCACGTGCTGTCATCCATAGTTTCCGTCCTTTTATCGATCTGCCTATTTGTCGATCCTTCCTTCGATATTACTGCCTTCACGCGCCATCTACTTTCTTTCCTTCTCTCTACCTCGTCCGCCACTCTTCCACCCCCAGCGCCCTCTCTAATCTCCACTTTCTTAACTCTGTCCTACCGTATCATTTCCTCCCATCTACCGCACTCTCCCCTCATCTTCCACTCTTTCCCCCTCTCCACACTCTTCCTTACTCAGCACTTTCTTCTCACATTTTCCAACTCCTTCGTTCTTCTCCTCCACCCTTCTCCCGTCACTACCTGCATGCTCTCTTGCTCCTCGCTCTCTCCCCTCTCCCTCCTCAACTCTCACGCTTCCGTTACTCCTCCATCCTCCACTCTCTCCACTTTCACTCCTCTACTCTTTTCCGACCTGTCTCTCCCCCAACCCAATATTCACTTTTCGATTATTTTACCTTAATACTTTTATGTACAAAATAATGAGAGGAATCAATTGGTTTAAAGAAAACATACAGTTGTTTTTAAGAAAAAATATGGAATTGTTAATTGCAAATTCCATATTTTTTCTTAAAAACAACTATATGTTTTCTTTACGCCAATTGATTCCTCTCATTATTTTGTACATAAAAGTATTAAGGTAAAACAATCGAAAAGTGAATATTTTACAAGATATTTTACGGTTTATGTAAAATTAAGAAATGATTTGAAGCATCATAACTCGATAAATGCTTGAGGGAAAAATATTTTATTATAGTGTTTTGGAAAGCTCTCGAGGTCAGCTATAAGAATATACAATCAAAAATAGGGGTTCCTATTTAAAAAAAACACTTTGACCTTCAAATAACCTTGAAGGTCAAGCTCAAGGTCAAATTGAAGGTCACCGTTGAATTCCTCGTTGAAAATTACTTCAGAAATGACCTTGACCTTTTTCAAAAATACCTTACATGAGAAAATATTCAGCCGTCCCGGGACTTAATTGACACCCTGTATACAGGGTCTACCAAAAGTGTGGAAACCCCTAAATATCTCGGAAAATATACGTTTTACAGAAAAGTGTTTCCAACAAAAGTTGTAGGGTTTAAGAAGATCTATATACTGATTCTATCAGTTTGACCTTGGATGGCGTCGTCAAGGTCAGGTCAAGGTCACATTGACTTTTTTAAATGACACCCCCTACATTTGATTGCATATTCTTATAGCTTAATTCAAGAGCTTTCCAAAACACTATAATAATGTTCATTTTTATTAAGTACTTTGCGAGTTATGAGGGTTGAAATAATTTCTTAATTTTACATAAACCATAAAATATCTAGTAAACCATTCATTTTTCGATTATCTTACCTTCATACTTTTATGTACAAAATAATGAAAGGAATCAATTGGTGTAAAGAAAACATACAGTTGTTTTTAAGAAAAAATATGGAATTGTTAATTGCAAATTACATATTTTTTCTTAAAAACAACTATGTGTTTTCTTTACACCAATTGATTCCTCTCATTAATTTGTACATAAAAGTATGAAGGTAAGATAATCGAAAAATGAATGGTTTACTAGATATTTTATGGTTTATGTAAAATTAAGAAATTATTTCAACCCTCATAACTCGCAAAGTACTTAATAAAAATGAACATTATTATAGTGTTTTGGAAAGCTCTTGAATTAAGCTATAAGAATATGCAATCAAATGTAGGGGGTGTCATTTAAAAAAGTCAATGTGACCTTGACCTGACCTTGACGACGCCATCCAAGGTCAAACTGATAGAATCAGTATATAGATCTTCTTAAACCCTACAACTTTTGTTGGAAACACTTTTCTGTAAAACGTATATTTTCCGAGATATTTAGGGGTTTCCACACTTTTGGTAGACCCTGTATATATATATACAGGGTGACCCATTTTAACTTAGGCAGCCAAATAACTCGAAAACCAAACCCAGGAGAGAAAAATGTTTCAGACAAAAGTTGTTTGGTTTCGAGGGAGCCATAAGATGGTATCATTGGTTTGACCTTGAAGAGTCATTTGAAGGTCACGTGAAGGTCACCTCAATTTTTTTAAATGGCACCCCCTATTTTTTATTACATATTCTTGTAGCTGACCTCGAGAGCTTTCCAAAACACTATAATAAAATATTTTTTTGTTGAGTATTTTTCAAGTTATGAGGCTTGAATAATTTCTTAATTCTACATAAATCATAAAATATCTAGTGAAATATTCATTTTTCGATTATTTTACCTTAATACTTTTATGCACAAAATAATGTGAAAAATCGATTGGTGTAAAGAAAACACATAGTTATTTTTAAGAAAAAATATGTAATTAGCAATTAACAATTACATATTTTTTCTTTGAAACAACTATGTGTTTTTTTTACAACAATTGATTTCTCTCATTATTTTGTACATAAAAGTATTAAGGCAAGATAATCGTGAAATGAATATTTTACTAGATATATTATGGTTTATGTAAAATTAAGAAATGATTTCCAGCCTCATAACTCGAAAAGTACTCTATGAAAAAATATTTTATTATAGTGTTTTGGAAAGCTCTCGAGGTCAGCTACAAGAATATCTAATAAAAAATAGGGAGTGCCATTTAAAAAAATTGAGGTGACCTTCACGTGACCTTCAAATGACTCTTCGAGGTCAAACCAATGGTACCATCTTATGGCCCCCTCGAAACCAAATAACTTTTGTCTGAAACATTTTTCTCTCCTGGGTTTGGTTTTCGAATTATTTGGCTGCCTAAGTTAAAATGGGTCACCCTGTATATATATATATGGGGCATTCCACGCCAAATCGGACGGTTTAAAAAATTTTTGTTTTTGATTTTCTTAATTTTTAGGTATTTTTTAGTATCCCTCAAAAGAGGCTTCCTGGTAACTTTTGAGATTTTTTTGATCACTGGTTCAAAAAATATCGAATTTTCAAAAAAACCGCTCTTTTTTTGGCTTTTTGCTCATAACTTACTTAATAATGGTCGAAATTCAATTTTTTTTTCAAAATTTTCGTTTTTAGATGGCCTTTACAGAAAAAAAATACAAACAAAATATTTAAAGTGTTTTTAATCGAGATTTTTGAATTTTAAGTTTTCAATCGTGTTTTTAAAATTGTGTGTATCCTTCGATTAGTAGGGATTTAAAAGCAGTAAGTAAAAGTTAATTCTATTTATGAGCAATTATAACAAACGTTTTTATTTATTTTCGTGTTCCTTTAAAAATTGTTTCAAAATTATATTATAAATGCTTTTTTTTGTTGTAAAGTATTTTTTTATTTATTTGCGATACAATACAGCTAAGACCATTACAGGAACTCAAAAATTTCATACAATTATTCCAAAAAGCGACGGAGCTATATTAACTAAGGAGTACTCTAGTTCACAAAACAATCGTTTATGTAAAATTTTTAAAAGAACACGAAAATAAATAAAAACGTTTGTTATAATTGCTCATAAATAGAATTAACTTTTACTTACTGCTTTTAAATCCCTACTCAAAACAAAAAAATATCGAAATTAATTTATAATAAGTAAAAACAAAGTATACAGTGTCAAAAATCGGTACTGATAATAATTTATAGCGAAAAAAAAATTTTTTTAATTTTTAAAAATCGAAAAAAAATAGTAATTATGGAAGGCCCACTACCAGACCGGGCTTAAAAGTTGCAGGATGGATAGAAGTTTAAAATAGAAAATCTTCAAGAAAATCGAAGGATACACACAATTTTAAAAACACGATTGAAAACTTAAAATTCAAAAATCTCGATTAAAAACACTTTAAATATTTTGTTTGTATTTTTTTCTGTAAAGGCCATCTAAAAACGAAAATTTAAAAAAAAAAATTGAATTTCGACCATTATTAAGAAAGTTATGAGCAAAAAGCCAAAAAAAGAATGGTTTTTTTGAAAATTCGATATTTTTTGAACCAGTGATCAAAAAAATCTCAAAAGTTACCAGGAAGCCTCTTTTGAGGGGTACTAAAAAATACCTAAAAATTAAGAAAATCAAAAACAAAAATTTTTTAAACCGTCCGATTTGGCGTGGAGTGCCCCATATATATATATTACTCTCCATTATTAATTAATTATTATAATAAAAAGTTACATACATATATGAGTTGATAATTATAAAAGATTATTATGAGTTATGTGATGATGACGAGGTCGCTTTATCTATGTTTTCTTCAATATATCGACATTTTCTAAACACACATTACATTAATGAATTGTATAATTATACATTATGTACACATTTTATTTATATATAAAAAAAATTATGTACATATTTTCTCTCGCGACGAGCTTTGGCTTGTACTAGCCATTTTGCGATGATTTGGGCAATCTCCGTCTCAGTCGTATCTTTATAATGAACGCGGACAGTTTCTATTGTAGTTCCATAAAATTAGTAACATATTAATATCAATATAACATGCTGACACATAATCAAGGAGAAGTTAAGTCTTAAAAATCTGTAATAGTATAACACTTACTAAGTATGATTTTATACAAAATCAAATCTTGAAAAGCCTTTTTCTTTTTTGCTCCAGCCATGCTGTACATTTCAGCCAAGGGATTAGTTATCAACTTTTTCAATAAATTAATCGTGCAAGAATGCACATCGAAACCTCCCAAGCCTTTTAATGTATATACCTATGATATAAAATAAATAATTTAAAAAATACATATTGATAAATATTAATTTAACAGTGATTTAGCAGAACATTTTTTTACAACTGTTGAAAGTTTTCTGTGTTGAGATTAGATTTATCTAGGTCTAAAAAAATAATCCAATCTCAATTCAGAAAATTTCCAACAGTTGTAAAAACGTTCTGCTAAATGCACTTATTTTATGATTTTATAAATAACATGTACACTTTATAAAATATTAAATTTGTATATATATATATATATATATATATATATATATATAAAGATATTCTATTTAAAATATATAACTTTCTAAATATTCAAAATGTTCTTTGCATCGCGAGCAAATATAATAACAATATTTAAATATTTAAATATTTAAAAATACAAATTTAAATATTTAAAAATATTTAAAGGTAAGAAATAACATACTATGCTTTCAAAAAATTCTTTGTTCTTCAATTTTGTTTCTAAAATATCCAATGCCAATTCATTATGCAAAGGTAATCCTATTTCTTCATCTTGAAGAATATCATCTTCACGTCTGTCAAGACTGAAACGACATTGCTCTTCATGAATCTCCAGTCTCTTGTCCACCATTTTTACTTGATGAATAATAATGTTCAGTTTACGAAGTATTTCTGTTTGAAAATCTGCATAATAAATTTTAAATCCTTTATATGAACACATAGGAACGACCAATCGGCGCAATAATATATATATTTTATGTAAAAAATACCGATTTTGAGCATTGTAATGCATATTTTACATAATATTAAAATATTAAAATTTCTTGAGAAATATATTATTTGCAAAAGTATTTAAAATGATATGAATAAACAATTCTCTATTCTGTGCTTTATCCAAACATTCAAAAAGTACACAAATGGAAATAACTTAATGATTCCCATACAGCACAAACTGTTTCAAAATTGTTTCAGAAATGTTTCAGAAATATTTCAACCTTTCATGTGTTGAACATTATCTTCTGCAATAATTTTGCAAGATTTCTGCAATATGTCTTTTGAATGTTTGAAAAAGAATTATCTCTGAAACCTTTCTTAAGAAACAATTTTGAAAACTTTCAGTTGAGTTATTTCAGAAATTTTTCATCTGAAATAATTTTGAAAACTGTCAATTGATTTATCTCTGAAATCTTTCATATGAAATAATTTAGAAATTTTTTATTTACATGCTTTTTTAGTTAAAATCTTGGAAATAGGAATCCTACTACAATATATGTGAATTCAGCTTAATTAATTTTTAATGTCAATTTATAATGAGTAAATATGAATTATATATTATAAATATAAAAGTATATTAAAAGTATATTTTTATATACATAAATATTAATATAATTATATATATAATATATAATAATTTATATATTATATACTGTGTATGTGTTAGATTGGGATACGATAAATTTTATAACATTTATTATAAAATAGTTATGAGAGTAAAATGAAAAATTGAATAATTTGATTAAAGAAAATAAGGTATGTGAAATATTCATATAAATCTGATATAATGATAATAAATCACAATTAGCCATCATTTTCGACCAACTTATACATTTTCTATTAACGCACTCAATATGTATGTGCTTCAAGGACTGCATTTACTTTGGACGCATTTCTTTTTTTTAAAGAAGGAGGAAGACGAAGAAGAAGAATAAGTAAAGCGCGTAAGCGTCTAAAGCGACGCGACGCAGCCACTGGTAATAATGTAGCTCATATATCACGCAGTGTGGCCATATTCGAAACGCGAACAACACGCGCGACCGTAAGGGATGTGCAGAGCTCAAACGAACGCGCAACGTTTTCGCTTACTGCGCATCTCCATACGGTCGTATCGTGTTGCTCGCCTCTCGAATCTAGCCATATTGATATCACGTGATATCATGTGGATCATGCTTCCGTGCGGATCGTTTGCTTTCGCTGCTTTTGGCTGAAAAGAACAATTATTCTGCGTTTTTCTTCAGATTAAGACATTGCGTGGAGAGTTAGAATTGAAGTAAATAAAAAGGTAATAATACTGTGTTTTTACTTATCACGTAAGTAAAAATATTCTGCGTTTTTCCTCAGATTAAGACATCGCGTGGAGAGTTAGAATTGAAGTAAATAAAAAGGTAATAAATAATATTGTTTTTACTTATCACGTAAGTAAAAATATTATCAAAACATAATTTGTAAAACTTTACTTAACCTCAACAACGTGTTTGTGTGATTCAACGCTTTAAAACATTTATGTCTATATATATATAATAATTTATAATATATAAAACAAAAGATCTTCAATTTCTGTAATAAACATTAAAAAAGATATTAATTCATAAAATAATTATGGATAGAAAACGCAAAAGGTATTCGTCACTTTCCAAAAGGCATTTTCGTAGGTTAATTGCAAACAATACTGCTTTTGATCTTATAAATACATTAGATAATACATCTAATCTTATAAACAGTGATAGTTCAAATGATTCTATTGATAACAATATTGATAACAATATAGATTCCAAAGAAATGAAAAGTTCAGATGAATTAATCCAACGAAATGAAAGCTTAGAAGAATCAATAGATACAATTTAAAAAAGTTCTAGCAGTAGCATCGAATCATTACATGAATTAATGGATAATAATATCGATTTACATTCTCATGATGAATTATTAGAAGAAAGCGATAGTGAAGAAAGTACAGATTCTGCTGACGAAAACATAAAATATAATTTAGAAAATATTGAAGTCGATGAAATTGCAAAGAATCATGGAGAAAATCAATTTTTACGAGATATATCTTCTTGGGCTATTAAATTTAATATCTTTCACACTTCACTGCCAGCCCTTTTATTTATATTACGAAAATATATTCATTATCCAATTCCTAAAGATCCTCGAACCTTACTGAAAACACCAAGGCATACAGCAATTCTTAAAATGGGTACTGGAGAATACTGTCATTTTGGTTTGGAAAATGCCTTAAAAGATATGTTAGATGAATATGCGAATAAAGTTAGATACCAACCTAATAGTCTTAATATATTGATAAATATTGACGATTTACCAATTTTCAAATCAAGTAATTCTTCTTTGTGGCTAATTTTATGTTCGGATACTATTTTAAAGTCGGTTTTTATTGTTGGAGCATATTTTGATCAAATAAAACCAGAAAATCATAATAATTTTTTGAGAAGATTTGTTGATGAAGCAATTTTATTAATAAATAATGGACTTGTACATAATGAAATACGTGTAGCCATCAATTTACATGATTTAATTTGATGCTCCTGCCAAGGCATTTGTTCTAGCTGTAAAAAATCATACTGGGTATAATAGCTGTACGCAATGCACAATTAGAGGCGATTACATAAATGGAAGCGTATGTTTTCTAGCAACAAATTTAAACAATGCTTTAAGAACTGATCAAGATTTTGAAAGTAATAAGTACGATGATTATCAAACCGGAGATACGATTTTAAAGCAAATTCCGAATTTTGGGTTAGTGTCAAGCGTACCGCTTGACTATATGCATCTTGTATGTTTGGGCGTTGTGAAAAAATTAATATTACTTTGGATAAAAGGTCCTCGTTCCATACGATTATCTCAACAATTACTTAATCAGATTTCAGGAGCTTTATTAAACTTACAAATCAGTGTACCTAATGATTTCGTTCGACGTCCAAGATCATTAAAAGATGTAAAGTTGTGGAAAGCCACGGAATTTCGGCAGTTCCTTCTTTATACGGGCCCAGTTGTATTAAAAGACGTGGTATCCAAAGACTTACGTAAACTTTATAACTTTACATATTGCTATTACAATTCTTGCAAGTCCCGTTCTTTCAAAGGATAATGTTATCTGGGCCCAAAAGTTATTAGAGTATTTTCTAACATGTTTTAAAAAAATTTATGGAGCTGAATATATGTCTCACAATTTACACAATTTATTACACATTTGTTCAAATGTACAAAAATACGGGCCTGTTGATAAATTTAGTGCTTTCAGATTCGAAAATTACATGTTACACATAAAAAAATTAATTCGAAAGAATGAAAAGCCTCTTCAACAATTGTCAAGAAGGTATGCTAAAATTAAAAACGTCAATTTGCCTATTAAGAAACTTCAAAATAATCATCAAATGTATTTTGAGAAACCCCACAAGAATGGACCTCTTATTACTGGATATAACTTTCACTCTCAATATAAAGTATTGCACAATAGTTCATATTCGATTCATGCTAACAGTAGAAATAACAATTGTATTCTATTTGAAAATGGAATTATAGTATCTGTTCTAAATTTAGTCCAATGTGAAGATAACAAAAAATATATAATTGGAAAAAAACTAAAAGTAGTAAAAAATTTATATTCAGACTCTATATATCCTTGTGCATCAGAAGTATTGGGTATACAAATTATGAGTGAAAACACTCCTATAAATATATGGCTTTGTGAAAAAATTCAGAGTAAAATGTGGAAAATGCCTTATTAATTATATTAAGGGGATGCTGGAATCATCGACGAACTCATGCGCGATTTTGAGCGCCACCTTAAAACAACTAAAAAAAATGTTACCGACGCAAGCGGCATGAGAGTGAGCGAGATAGCAATAGGAGCGAGCGTGACAGCGATAGGAGCGAGCGAGACAGCAATAGGAGCGAGGAAGACAATAATAGGAGCGAACGAGACAGTAATAGGAGCGAGCGAGAGGGGAATAGCAGCGTGCAAGGAAAGGCTCGATCCTCGAGTTTTCTCTTCCAACTGCTATGCCCCTCTCGCTCGCTCCTATTATTGTCTCGTTCGCTCCAATTACTGTCTCGCTCGCTTCTATTATTCTCTTTCGCTCGCTCGCCGAGATACATTTCTTGTGTGATGATAATATACATATATTATATATTATATATATAGTATATATATATATATATATATATATATATATATATATATATACACAGTGTGTCCCAAAAGTTCGGCAACGGTCAAATATATCGTAAAATATGAATTTTCTTGAAAAATGTTTCAAACAAAAGTTGTAGGGTTCGGAGGAGGACATAAGATGGTACCATTAGTTTGATCTTGAAGAGTCACATGAAGGTTACGTGAAGGTCATTTTAAATTTCTTAAATGGAACATCATATATATTTTTATATATTCTTATAGCTTATCTTGAGAGCTTTCCAAAACACTATAAATAAACATTTTTTCCTCAAATATTTTTAGAGTTATGAGGCTCGAAATCATTTTTTAATTTTACATAAACCATAAAATATCTAATAAAATATTCATTTTTCGATTATCTTACCTTAATGCTTTTATGTACAAAATAATGAGAGGAATCAATTGGTGTAAAGAAAACATACAGTTGCTTTTAAAAAAAGATATGGAATTGTTAATTGCAAATTACATATTTTTTCTTTCAAACAATTATGTGTTTTCTTTACACCAATTGATTCCTCTCATTATTTTGTACATAAAAGCATTAAGGTAAGATAATCGAAAAATGAATATTTTACTAGATATTTTACGGTTTATGTAAAATTAAGAAATGATTTTGAGCCTTATAACTCGAAAAGTACTTGATGAAAAAATGTTTATTTATAGTGTTTTGGAAAGCTCTCAAGATAAGCTACAAGAATATACAAAAATATATAGGGTG